GAATCTGCTCTCTCCTCTGTGTGTGTGTAGGAGAAGCCAGCCCTGCCCTCCAAACCCGGCTCTTTGTTTGTGTTGGGTTGCTTCCTGCACCATCCCAGAATAGAGGCCGGGAAATGGGCTGGCTGGGTGTCTCCTCTGGTTGTGGCTGGAGAGGAAAAGCAGATGGCGAGGGCGGGGAGCTGCAGCATGCTCTTCTTCTTTTGCCCTGGGCTTCCGTTCATCTGGGGAGTGGGCAAAGGGTCTGCAAGCAAGGGACCTGCATTGAGGACCTGAGTGATGGCACATTGTTTGCATGGGACAGGGCGTATTTTCCCGGCAGCCAGGAACTCGGCAGTTTGGTTCCCAACGCTGCAACCAACTCCCTGCCCAGCCCCGGCTGAGCTGTCACAGCACGGTCATAATCCTGCTGGAACAATTGGCCGCGCTAAAAATAAAACATGTCGGAGGTGGTCTAATTTACCACAGTAAATCAAAATCTACCATGATGAAAAGATGTCGGCGTGTATTTTCACATGCGACTCAGCTAGCGAAAGGATGATTTTTGCTGCCGTTCTGTGATGTGTATAAGCGACGCATAGCGCGTACAAGACCAGCGCAGGGAAGCATCTCCAGAAAGAGGTGGGCTATGCCAGCCTATTCAAGAGCAACTTTGATGAGCTGAGAAGGAAGTTCCCCCCCTCTTCGGCTAACCTGGAGGGCAGCAGAGGGGAGATGTGATAGACAAAGGTTGGAAAGCTTTGCTGGATCTGGGCATGCTGGTGCTTAGTGCTGGCGTGTGGGGCTTTTCACCCCTAGGGCCCCTGTCACACGTTACCTATATCACACATTTCACTGGTGAAATGCTCAATACATTTAGTCAGGCCACACGTGCGAAGTAACGCTCATGCCATAAAAATGCCCATCCCGCTATCAAAAGAGCCAGCCGGCTACAGTTAGTGCTTGAAAATGTGCCACAACTTTATAGCTGGTTTCTGTCCTGCTTTCACGTATTGCAGGGCCCCTGGGTCACTACTTTGGATCCAGCCTGTGTTGTCTCTGTAGGGACTAGCTGTTTTTCTGGCCTGGATGAAATGAGTTTTGTGGGTCTTGCCATCCCCACTGCAAAGCCCAGTCAATGCTTCACCCTCAGACCCTTTCTGGGCAGCATCATCTGCTAGTCTTGGCTTTTATGGACCCTGCTCAGCCCATCCAACGCAGGGGGGGGATGTCCTAGCAAGACAGTGTTGGGGAAGGGTGCTTTGGCCCTGTGGACGAGGAGCACGAGGCCCGTGAATGGGGCCCTGCATTCACATGGGACCCAGAGGGGAAGATGAGAAACAGAGCTGGAATAGCAGGGAGAGGAAAGGTGTTAGCCTGGGGGGTAGTGCACCAGAGGCAGGTCCCTGAGACCCCCCCAGTGCCACCCTCTGCACCAGACCCACCCAGGGCAGATGACCCGGGGCCCTTTGCTCCTGCTTATCTCATCCACAGTCAGCCTGGGGGGAACTGATTACAGAGGGAGGGGGAGAGACAGGCGTCCCTGTTCAAAGGTGAACAGAGATAAGGGGGAAAGGGAAGCAGAAGGGAAGGCTGCCTCTGAAATGCTGCTAGCGCAGGAAGTGGCTCCAGTCCCAACCCGGTGAGCACAGCTCTTCCCTCTGAGTCAGTGCTAAGGTGGGGGGGGGGG